CCCAGCCACGCCTCCTTTGGGAATTCCATCCTAGCCCCTCACCACCACCCTCACAGCCAAGAATTCCTTCCCAGTATCCCATCTCTCCCTGCCCTCTGGCAGTGGGAAGCCATTCCCTGTGTCCTGTGCCTCCAGGCCCTTGTCCAAAGAATTTTTCGTGAACTTGGGGACAGTGGGATGGGAGCCAGGCTGGGCAGACCCATTGCCCATGGGGGTCCCTGCTCCCCACACCACATTCCAGGCAAGGATCCCTTAGCCTCTGTCCATGTCCACACTGTCCCTGCAGGTGGTGGAGGAGACCCACCTGATCCTGAAGGAGTACGGCTTCCGCTTTGTGCGCCGCGGAGCCATCTACGTCAAGGGCAAGGGGGAGCTGCTCACCTTCTTCCTCAAGGGCCGGGACAAGCAGGGCTCCTTCGTCAGCGGCTCCTCCGTCCCCCTGCCCCACCAGGTGGTGGACAGCTCCTGAGGGTCTGTGTCCACCACACCACAGCCACCACCTTGGGAGAGCCCCCGTCGGGAATGTCCATCCCGGAACCAAACTGAGCTCCCAACCCCCTTGCACGACCCTTCCCGAGCCCTCGCCGGAGCTTCCTGGGGTGGAATGCTCCGTGGCAGAGGGAGATGTGGGGCTGTCCAAGTGGGCTCCTCTGGCTGCATGGAGCCAGGGACACGCTGCTGCCTTTTCCCAGGCATGACTGGGACGACATGGGACGACATGCTGGCATGACATGGAATTAGCATCCCAGGCCCCAGCTCGGCACGAGGAGATCCAAACTCAGGGACAGTTGGGAAGACACCACGTCTCTTCTGTGTGCCAGGAGTGGGAGCTCCAGACTGGGAATGGGAGCTCCAAACTGGGAGTGGGAGCTCCAAACCAGGAATGGGAGCTCCAAACCAGGAGCAGGAGCTTCAAACTGGGAGCATCCAGGATTTGCTGTTAGTTTGTGCCCAGTTCATTCTCCAAACATCACGGGTAGGAGATGGGAGAGATGGAGGATGGCACCGGCTTGGACTCGTGGGGAAGGGAGAGGGAGACACATTGTGTATTCCAGATCTATATATATCTATGAGTCCAGATGGATATTTATATTTTTAGCAGTTCCCACTCCCTCCCTGTGGCAGGGATTGGTGTCCCCTGGTGGGAGAGAGGATGAGGAGGGGACAGGCTATGCCAGGGCTGGAGGAGCAGGAGGACATGCGCGGAGTGTGCTCACGGCACTGGATGGAATAGAAGCAGTTGACCTTCACACCTGATTCCAAGCCTGATTTGTTCTGGGGTTGGACATGGAACAAGTTCCATGGCCTGTCTGAGGGGATGTTGGGTTTGGAGGGATCATGGAATGGCTTGGGCTGGAAGGGACCTTAAAGTTCTCATCCTGTCCCACCCCTGCCCCAGGCAGGGACACCTCCCACTAGCCCAGGTTGCTCCAAGCCCCATCCAACCTGGCCTGGAACACTGCCAGGGATGGAGCAGTCACACCTGGTTTGCTTGGCCAACCCGATGGATGGAAGGATCTGACCATTTGGGAATTTCCCCCTGCAGCTGAAACCCTTAGGAGCCAGATGTTACATTCCAACAGGTTTTCCAGGTCAAACAGGACAAGGAGATTTAATAATTCTAGAAACAATACAACTATAAAGTGTTCTCCCTGTGCTTCACCAAGAGGGAAAAATGGAGCTAGGGAAAAAGAGTCATTGAAACTCCATTTTTTTCCCCACTAAAATGCATGAAAAAGCTAAAGGAAATCATCATATATTCCCTTTTCCTAAAGGAAATCATAGATTCCCTTTAAACTCCCCAAATTTGGTACTGTGGAACTTCAATTAACAACTTGCTAATGAGCTGCTGCAAACCAGCAAGATTTTCAGGATCTCATCCAGACTTGAGGCACAGTGGGGTGCAACAAAGCTGTGCCAGGCCTCAAGGGAAGGAAACAGCACATGGAAAGCCATGGATGGTGCAGAATTTTCCGGGAAGCTCAGTGTTAGCGTTGAGGAGGCTCACACTGCTGCTGACAGGGATTAACCCTTCCCTCTGTCCTGCAATTCCATGATTTCCAGCCCTCAAGTCCTTTCCTAAAAGGAGCAAGCAGGACATGGATGACTCCATTGCTCCACTCTTTTTGAGGAGCACTGGATAAGTGGAAGGAGCTGATCCACAGGGTGTTGTGCCCGAAATACCAAAATCCTGAAGGTTTAACATCATTCCCAATTCCAATTCCAAGACTTTTCCTACAGCTAGGGAATTCCTGGAACAAGGAAAGGCCGCAAGGAAACGTTGCTCCCAAGATCCAAACCTGAAGTGCTACACTCAATGGAAAACAGTTGAGTTTGGAGATCAATTCCCACAGGCAGGAGAATTCCAGGGTGGCTCATGAGGTGACATCCAAGGGGTTGAAGGACTGGAAGGCTTTGTGCAGGGCCACACAGCGGAACATCTCCGAGTGAGACGCTGCTGTCTCCACCAGCGAGGCTGGAGCATCCGCTGCCACAGGGAAGCAGATGGATCAGAAGGGAAAGGAATGTCATGGCATCATCATAAAGCTATTTGCTTCACATTCCTGCCTTGTCTCTAGGGAATATTTTAGCTCTGCCATGCCATGGGGTTTATATTCTCATAACCTTTCCATGCTGCAGTTTTCCCGTGGGATTTGGTGGCTAAGAAAGGATAAAATGCCTTACAAACAGACTGAACTGAGGGGTGAGGAGGGAATTTGGGAGCCTCCACCTGGGCACGGCCTGGTTGGGAACACTGGGATATAGGTGGACAAGGGACGCCTCAGCCCAATTTGGAATTGCATAGACTTATTAGGCTGGAGAAGCCCTTGGAGACCATCGAATTCAACTGTTCCCAGCACTGCCAAAGCCACCACTAACCATGGCCCCAAGGGCCACATCCATGTGGATTTAAATCACTCCAGGGATGGGGACTCCACCCCTGCCCTGGGCAACCTGTGCCAGGTATGGACAGCCCTTTCCACGTGGAATTCTTTCCGATATCCAACCTAAACTTCCCCTGGCAGTTTGAGGCTGTTTCCTCTCATCCTGTCCCTTGTTCCCTGGGAGCAGAGCCTGACCCCACCTGGCTGCACCTCCTGTCAGGGAGTTGTGGAGAGAGAGAAGGGTCCCCATCCATGTGCTACACCCCCAATCCCAACAGATTCTCACAACATCCACTTACGTGTGCAGGACACAGTGACTTCTGTGGGAAGGCTGCAGCATGGATCTCCATAGAGCAGCCGAGCCTGGAATGGGAAGGTCTGGGCATTCCTTGGAATGTTGTAATTGAAGATGAGGAGGTTGTACAGGGAATTTCTCTGCAGAGCTCCTTCAATCTGGTCTGAAAAGTGTTCCTGGAGGGAGGAAAACAACACTGAAACATGAAGCTAGGGATAATTTCCTCTTGGAAAGGGCTGTCCAGCCCTGGCGCAGCTGCCCAGGGCAGGGGTGTGGATTCCCCATCATTGGAGGGATTTAACAGACATGTGGATGTGGCACTTGGAGACATGGTTAGTGGTGGCCTTGGCATTGCTGGGAATGGTTGGACTCAGAGGTCTTTTCCAATCTAAATGATCCCATGATTCACCTTTCAAGGGGTATCACAAGGACATGCTGAGTGCACAGGCTTTGTTTAGTTCAGGGAACGCAATGCTCAAGAGTTAACATTGTCTACTGCTACTGAATGTAATTTTAGAAGATATAGCCAAGTTTGTCTGTGGCACAGCAAAAGAATGACAGGAACGAATGCAAGGTACATCAAGGAAAATTTAC